CTCCAAGTCCTAGGATAATTTAAAAATGTTTCTTCTTTAATCTTTATTGTTTTTCTTTTAAAGCATCTTAGGAAATGCCAGGCATTCTCTACTTAGATTTACTGTATTGGCCTCTCTTACAAAACCAGTTATTAAATGAATAATCGGAGGATCCTTATTTGTAAGAGATTAGCCAAAGAGTTTATGAAATGGCAAAAACTGCTGACTACCTTGGGGAAGGAGGTGTGGGGGGAACAATGCATTTGGCTTTGTCTTCAATAGGTTTATTTAATCTACCTACTGCCAAAGTTGCCACTCTAATTTGTATCCTAGGAGTTTCAGAAGGAAGATGCACAGTAGACATTTACGATAATTACACAATTATATCAACTTTGTAGTGAACCTGTTTTGAGATTAACTGTACTGAATAACTAAACAAGTAGAAAAACAAGAATGAAAAACTTTAAAATAAACTTTCAGCAATTTCAATGGTGATACATTAACATCAATGAGGAAATGGAAGCATATCCCAGCCAAAGCATTACCTAATGAATAAGCCTAAATAACAGATGTTTTAAGGTTTTGTTTACTCAATAAAAGTTAATTTCCAGCCCTAACCGGTTTGGCTCAGTGGACTGAGCATCAGCCTGCGGACTGAAGGGTCCCAGGTTCAATTCTGGTCAAGGGCATGTACCTTGGTTGCAGGCACATCCTCAGTAGGGGGTGTGCAGGAGGCAGCTGATGGATGATTCTCTCTCATGGATGTTTCTAACTCTCTATCCCTCTCCCTTCCTCTGTAAAAAATCAATGAAATATATATTTTTTAAAAAGTTAATTTCCAACAGGAATTCTTAAGTCTACTTTCCATGTTTTCCATGTTAAACAAAATATCAGAACTTTCCCAACATTCCTAGTCATAAATTCACTGAAGTATGACATGTACTGTAACATACATCAAAATTTTAAAATAGGCCATTGTTCAGCAATTTAAAAATACTTTTTAAAATTTAACCAATATATTTTATAGTTGTAATATATACTTAATAAAGTCCATATTATTCCATCATATGCCACTAAAATAGTTTAGCACAAAGATAAACTTATTCTCTTTTGAAGAAAAAAGCATATGCAAGACTGTTAGCTTTCTCACTAATAATTTCCAAACTGAAATGACTTAACATGGATAAGCTATGTTATTTATGCAAATATAGATTTCTGTATATGCCAAAATGATATATACACTTTAAAATGTGTCAGGCCACTCTCCCTATACAAGATATGCTTTTTGATTGGGGGAGGGGGGAGGAATAAAAAGTAAAAAGAAAAAAAAAGGTATGTTTTATTTTTTAAAAATATATTGATTTCAGAGAGGAAGGGAGAGGGAGAGACAGAAACATGAATAATGAGAAAGAATCACTGATCAGCTGCCTCCTGCATGCCCCGTACTAGGGTTGAGCCCACAACCTGGGCATGTGCCCCAAAGGGAATAGAACTGTGACCTCCTGGCTCACAGGTTGACGATCAACCACTGAGTCTCACCA